GCTTTGAGTGTGCTCGGCTCTAGCATCCAGACGAACAGCTCATATGCATGCTCAGACTGCTCGGACACATGCTTAGACAGCTTGGATGCATGCTCAGACGGCTCGGATGCATGTTCAAACAGCTCGGACGGCGTGTTTAGCAGTTCAGATGCATGCTCAATAGCTCGGACAAGCTCAAGACGGTGTTGTTCAACGTATGCAAGGTGCTCGGGGACTAGCTGTGGGGGTATAACCCCCGATACCAGTAGGGTTGTACATGGGCCGAGCCGCTAGGGGAGGTCTAGCCCACAAGACTGCGCATGGGCCGCGCCACTGGTGGAGGCCCAGCCTACGAGACGACGTCATGTGAGGCACGACACAAGTCGGCGTGCCTCGCAAGACTACGTGAAGATCTTCGATGGTCTAGGACACCTGCTCGGATATGCCAGATCCCGTAATATCTTCAACTTCATATCTTGTAAAACCGATCAGGATAGAAACAACCGATCTGTAACCCTACCCCCCCCCCGAGTTATATAAGGCGGGTAGGGACCCCCCTCGTTTTCATCTGATCATACGCAATACAATCCACAAAGACACAGGACGTAGGGTATTACGTCAAGCTGACGGTCCGAACCTGTTTAATCGATGTCTCACGCGTTCTGTGTCACCATCCGACTTTCTCACGCGCACCTCCACCGATTCATCTACTACCGTGGGCATACCCCTCGGTAAACTGTCGGACGTATTTCGTCGACACCTACGCCTATCTAATGTGACAAGTAAACTCTGTTGGAGACTTTCCCTTAGCAATCTCTTCCTTGATTTCTTCCTTGGCTTCCATGAGCTTCAGCATCACTTCACCAAGTTGGCCCTTCATCTCAGACATCTCGAGCTTCAACTGACACATCTGGAGTTTCAGGTCGCCATTGACCTTTTCTGCAATGGTTTCTGCAACTGATTTCTCTTCTTTTGCAGGACCCGGATTCAGTAGCTCAGGGTGATTGCAGCGCAAGTATTCCAGATAGGGTTCCTCATACCAGTAGTATGAACAGCTACTGTTATTCTGCTTGAACAAACAATCTTTCTCAATCCGACAAGAAAACAGATAACCCACAGATGAAGCTAAATCCAATCAACCAAGAACCAACATACCGGGAAATGGTTAAGGCACTTGTAGTACACATCATTGTTCTTGCTCCTGCGTTTAATCACCTTCAAGTGGCACTTGGGGCAGTCGATCCTAGGGAGGCCACCCATCTGGGCCGAGCTAGAGGATGCGACGCTCGTCATCTCTAGACGACGATGGGAAGGGGAGAAGAGACGCCGGCTACCGCAGAAGATTGCCGCCGCTCAATTCTAGGGTTAGGGGTTGGGGAAGAGAGTGGGGAATAGGGACGGCAAATGCACAGAGAAGGTGGGCGTTAGCGTCCTTATCATCTCGCAGGAGGGCAAAACGGACCATACGGAAATACGGCTCCCTCCTATACGCCTGACAATGGGTCCAAGACGGCATCGAGCGTAGATAGTGGCGTATCTCAAACAACCGCGGAATTATAATGGCACTGGCGTAGTTAGACGAATAATAATGGCGCGCTTCAAAAACGTGGTAATTATAATGGCATAGATTCAATTAACCATTTATTCATTTTCGCATCTATGGCTTGTGGGGTACACTTTTACTACATGGCAATCCAAGTCAAGAGCAGATCTGGTTCATGGCAACCTGCTTAAAGGCTTCAACAGATTTGCTCCGGATCAATGATTTCTCAAAGAATGCGTTGGTGCGATGCATGATTAGCACCAGCAAGTTCATCTTCATTCGTACACTTTTAACCTGATCGCAGGGGCTGGGCTGGCTGGGCTGGCTGGTCTTCCCAGATTGACTCCGGATCAATGATTTCTCAAAGAATGCGTTGGTGCGATGCATGATTAGCTCCAGCAAGTTCATCTTCATTCAGGCCATTTGAACTTCACGGTATTTTTGGACGATATTGCTGTAGTGTAGCTTATATTACGCAAGTTTGTAGCACAAGAACGAAGAATCTCACAGGGATTTTACAAGAAACTAGAGTATGATTATATTGAAATCCCGTTGCAAGTTCTCCATTACCAGCAGGAGAACTTCGCAGTTGCATTTGTCCAGAATATGCAATCAGTTTAGGATTGTTTTCTAAAGAATTTATTTTAACGAAAAGATACACTCTGATTTGTAAGCGAATTTTTTACATTTTGGGGCGGCGCCTATGCTCTCCAAAATAGTCTCTTGGAGATGAATTTTGTTGATCATATAAACTGTGCCTTGCACATGCAGAGGATGCTATAAATTCACCGCTTGGGGTCTAGTTCCATGCGAGCAATCTATCTATCTAGGCCTTGTTTAGATCACCTCCAAATTCCACCACTCTCTATACATTATACCAGAGACATGCCAGTCACATTAAATGATCCCAAAAAATAATTAATTACTAGCCATTTTGGGTTAGTAAATCACGAGATGGATCTTTTGAGTCTAGTTAGTCCATGATCACTTATTAAAGTTTGTCAAATACACTTCAAACGCGGACTCTGGTTAGCAGTTAGAAAAATTTGCAATCTAAACTTTTCTAAATACTATCCAAATATAGTCTTAATAAAGATAAACCCCACTACCACATTCTATCTTATACCAGAGACTGCCGGTCACCCTTTTGATCCCAAGCATTACTGGTGATTATCCTAGCCATTTGATGGTAATTAGTAGTAATCACGCCATCGAGAGGACCAGGCTTCCAGCCTTCCACCGATCCATCACTTATTAGCCACTGCATGTCACTTGCACTTCACCTCCGGACTCTGGTTAGCGATAGAGATTTTGGTGGAGCTTCTCTAAATACATATCAAATATAGTTATCTTCTATTCTGAATTTTTCGCTAGCCAAAAAATATAAGACGAGAATGGCTCTTGTACTAAGGGCGTGTTTAGTTCCGAAAATTTTTGGCTTTTATGTATTACAACAGGAACAATCTTTTGTTTTTGTATTTGGCAAAAAATTTCAATCAAAACAAGTATTTTGGACTACACAAAGGCTTAAAAGATTCAATCTCACGATTTTTCTCGCCAACTGTGTAATTAATTCTTTTTTTAAATCACATTTAGCCGCATTCATCCATGAATTGCAAAGATTCGATGTGACGGATACTACGTAAATTTTTTTAGATTTTGGGGAAAACTAAACGGGGCCTAAGCATGGGATACAGATGAACTGGCGTGCGGCCGCCCGCATGTATTACAACAGGGAGCAATGCCCCTCTGCACATCTCGCCGCATTCATCCACGAATTCTCATTCAGTGTGCATTGAACCTTGTCATCTGTAATCTGCAATGTGCCGCCTCAATGGCAGCAACGAGGAGGCGGGTTGAAGAGGCATGTTGATGTGCGTGTGCCTGTGCCTTTGCTCGTGAGGAGGGCCATGAGCACCAAGGAATCTGATTGACCACGAGGAGAGCGTAGAGGAGGTCCTGCTGCTGCGCGGGGAGGTGGATGCCTTGTGGAGGGAAGTGCAGCGCCTGCTCTGTTCAACGTGGACCTTCAGCACCAACCAACAGCAAGCCGAGCTGCCTCTGTCCATGCCCCCGAGGTGCTTGATGATATGCTTAAAAGTGATGTCGTTTGAGTTTAATCCAAGCCTAATGACATGACAGCAGGTTCAATAAATAGAGAGCCAGCTTTAGACAAGCTGTCGTGGAACCTTTTCATTTTGAAAGGCTAAATTATTTTAGAGAGCCAATTTCTATATGCAAATTTGGCCATACTCTTGCTGACCCGTATTTAGCCATACGAAAAAACGTATGGTCTGTTTGTCTAGAGGAGGAAATGAAAGCAGACCCGTAATGGACACCAAACGGCATTTACAAGTTGCATATGCATTCGAGACAGACCAGGGCACCAGGGTTACATACTTAGGAGTATATACCTTCTCAAAGCAATAAGAGATCAAAATTCTAAGTCTGCATAAGCTTTGGTAGCCAAGCGATGTGGCCATTGTTTTTCGCGGCTCCCAACAGGAGCACATTCAAGTCAATAACAAGAAGAAAAAAACAGAGGCCGCGTTTAGTTCGGCCACCGAATCGGCGCCGCCGCACTGTAGCTACTGTAGCATTTTGTTTTTATTTGATAATAATTATCTAATCGTTGACTAATTATGCTCAAAACGTTCGTCTCGTAAAGTACAACCAAACTGTGCAGTAATTTTTGATTTCGTCAACATATAATACTTCATGCATATATCGCAAGTTTAATGTGACGGAAAATCTTCTTTTTATATGGTGCCAAATTCTGAAATTTAGGGCAACTAAACGTGGCCAGAGGCTCGATCAGTAGTCGGTCGGCACTCGGCACGGGAGGGGAGTGAGAGTGAATTTCAATTTCTGCAGCGCAGAGCGCATGCACTAGCCTTGCTCCAGCACTCCAGCAGTCCGCGCGCAGAGACAAGCGCACGCCTCGCCTATTCCTACTCGGGCCTTGGTTAGATTAAGTTAGGAATCAGGCTGTAGCATTTTTGTTTGTATTTAATAATTATTGTCTAATTATAATCTAACTAGGCTTAAAAGATTTGTCTCGTAATTTACAATTAAACTATGTAATTAGTTATTTTTTTATCTACATTTAATACTTTATGCATGTGTTAAAAATTTAATATGATGAAGAGAGAATGAAAAAACTTGCCATCGAGGCCTCGGACCGTCGGATGATGATGATGGATTGGTCGATACATACTGTACGTTGATGCGCGCATTGAATTCCCCCGCCAACCACCCCGCTGCGTCATCTGCAACACCCATGAATTCACGACGCGCGCCTTCAATTCACCGTGGCGCCAGTCTGGTAGCTTCTGCTCCCGCTATCTTTATACCCACGCTGCCTGCTCAGCTCACTTCAGTTCTCATCATCTCGCTCCTCCGCTCCAAGCACACCACCACTCCACAGTCCACAGTCACAGCAGCAGAAGAAGAGGAGCAAGCAGGGGCAGCAGCAGCTATGGAGGCGCGGATGACGGGGAGAGCTCTGCTTGCGAGCTTCGCGCTCGCCGCGTTGGCCGCGCAGGCCTTCGTGGTCGTGGTCGAGTCCAGGGCCAGCCCCACGGAGAAGGCAAGCCAAGGTGACAACATCCTCTTTCCATATGCTGTGTGCCTGTGTGCAACAACAACAACTAACATTGCGGATGAGGGTGGCGAGCCTGCATTGATCTCTGTGGTTGCGTCGCCGCATGCATGCAGGCGACGACGTGAAGAAGCCGGACTGCGTGCCGGGGATGGACCCGCGCTCGTTCCCGGGGATCGGCGGCGGCATCACGCCCGTGACGCCGTCGCACGGAGGCTCCACCGGGACGCCGTCCCACGGCGGCGGCAGCGGCGGGTACGTGCCAACGCCGTCGCACGGCGGGACGACGCTGCCTTCCCCGTCCCACGGCGGCTTCGGCTCCTCTCCGACGTCGCCCTCCACCGGCGGCGGCTACGGCGGGTCCCCGTCCCACGGCGGCCCGTCCCACGGCGGCGGCGCGTACGGTGGGTCTCCGTCCACCCCCAGCGGCGGTGGTGGCGCCTACGGAGGCGGGTCTCCCTCACCGGCCCATGGTGGCGGTGGCGCCTACGGAGCTCCCCGACGCCCGCGTACGGCGGTGACTCCCCCTCGCACGGCGGCGGCATCGGGACCTCGTCGCCGACGCCGTTCGTCGCCGTGGACCCCCACAGCTTCGGCTCCCTCCCGGGCTCCTGCGAGTAAGCCACTGCTCCTTCATGACGCGTCGGCGTCGCCATGCATGCACGCACTTTCCAAGTTTTGGTCAGCACATGCAGTCACTGACAAAAAGTTGTTGTGTACTCTGCATGCAACGTCCACCAGCTACTGGAGGTCGCACCCGATGGAGATCTGGTCGGCGATCGGCGGCCGGTTCCCGAGCACGTCGCCGTCGACGATGGGCCACTTCTTCGGCGCGGCGGGCAGCGTGGGCGGGTCGGACGTGAGCATCCAGGACGCGCTGGCCAACACGCGGTCCGACGGCACCGGCGCGCTGCTGCGCGAGGGCGCCGCCGCGCTGCTCAACTCCATGACCCGTGCCGGCTTCCCCTACACGACGGAGCAGGTCCGCGACGCCTTCGCCGCGGCGGCCGTGGGCGGGTCCGACGGCGCCGCCGCTGCGCAGGCGGCCGCCTTCAGGAAGGCCAACGATGGGAAGGCGTAGAGAATCAGAGGCCTGCTGGCTACTGGTGGTGTGTACGTGCATGTGGCAACGGTGCTGTTGGTTTGATGGTTACGTACGTTGGTTGTGTGTGCGTGTGTGTTTCATCACCGAGACCTAGCTCATTGTGGTGTAGTTGCTCGCTCCTCCTATTTTTTGTTGTTTTTTTGTGACGTTTGGATCGATCGGTACTCGATGAATGAAGCAAACTGCAATGTACTCCTAGTATCCTAGCTGTTTTTGGATTTCGATCCTGATTCTGATGAGGCAAGGCAACAATTGCAAATAAATCAGTTCTTGGCGCTGTGGATCATCTTTCCATGCATGCACTAAGGCCCCGTTTAGTTTCCCCCTAAAATCTAAAAATTTTTGCGCAGTAACCGTTACATCAAATCTTACGGCACATGCTTGAGTACTAAACGTAGACGAAAAAAAAATTAATTACACAGTTGGTCCAGAAATCGTGAGACGAATCTTTTAAGCCTAAATAGTTTATAATTAGATAATTTTTGCTAAATACAAACGAAAATGCTATAGTAGCTAAAAATTTTCGGAACTAAACACGCCCTAATCTGCTGCCTGTTGAAAAAGCAACTTATCGTTGGTTTAGCGTGGGCGGTGGGCACACAGGCAGTACGGAGTAGGTACTGGCTTGCAAAGAGCTTACTGTACTGTACTGTACATCGTATTAAACCATTCACGAGATCTGACGATATACCGTACTACTGTATGTAGATACAGAGCGCAATAAAAAGGCCCTTACCATACTGTACGTACTCCGTATGTAGGAGTAGATGCAGAGCACATTAAAAGGCTGAGTAATAACTACGTACAGACACAATCGCGCGTACGTCTCCAAAGTCCAAACCAACGTACGTACTCCTACAGATTGCTGACGCTATCGTGTATTGTCATTGCAACACTGCTCTTGGGTCTACCGGTCTAGCATTGTTCGTGTCAAAAGAGAACACGAGCCTTATTGGAGCAGAAAGGCCTCAGGCGTGGGCCTAATTTGTTCGTGTCAAAAGAGAACACGGGCCTTGTTGGAGAGAAAAGGATCTGAGAACTGAGAAGAGGCCTGGCCAACAACAGGAAGGCGTAGAGGGAGGCTGCTGGCGCGTGCATGCATGTCAGAATATGTGATTAGCTGGAGTGCTGCATTGTTCTTGTTCGTTGCTGCTGTTGGTTTAGGTTTGCGTGCACGTGTGTTTCAGGTGAACAACGCCAAACTCATTGTGGCGTGATCGCTCGTCTAATTTTGCTTTATTTATTTATTTTTTTGTTGTGGATCAGATCGGGTCTCGATTAATGTTTTGTGTTTTGCTTGTGCTGCATGTCACACCTTTCATAATTCAGTTGACTATTTGCATGTGGATTTCGGACATAACATGTGTGCATCGTGTTATGTATATGTGGACCGCTTATGTTGTTATGTTTATTATGGTCGGATCTGTGATGCGTGTTGATAACTTACACTTGATTGTGTTATGTTTTGTACTTTCTCCGTTCTAAATTACAAAACGTTTTGACTTTTATAGATTCATAGCTTTTGTTATGCACTAAGATATTGTTAGATTGATCTCCACAATTGGGCCTTTGGATCCGTGCCCTGATCGGGGACGCCCAACCGCTCCATGGTTGGTGGGCCCCCATCGCTACAACGCCATAAAAAGGGAGGTGAAGGCCGGGGCACAAGGCACGAGAATCGCCTGAGCCGCCAAACGCCCCACCTACAGTCCCTAAACGCTAAGCCGATCTAGTGAGGGGGCATTGCCAGCGACGGGAAGACCGCCACCGGACACCGCCGCCTCTGCACCACCGCCATTGCGTCCACGACTTCACCGCCGGACCTCACCACGCCACCGACAAACACCCCATGGCAAGCTTATCTTCTACGAAGGCGGCCGATGGTTTGCAACTCCGTAACCCCTCTCTCTCTCTCTCTTTCTCGTACTAGCATGTTCTAGGACTTGCTATTTATCCCAAATGTTAGTATACATGCTAGATCTATGGCTAGATGATCATGTCAAGTCTATTAAATATATACTATGGCTAGATATATAGTAAAAGCTATGAATCTAGAAATGGTAAAATATTTTATAATTTGGGATAGAAGAAGTACCTATGATATGCTTGGACTTATATGGTTCGTTGCTCAGTGCCAGAGACTGGCCCCAACCTTGCATTCCTTGGCACCGCATTGTTTGGCACCGAGGATTGAAACCTAACCTCCAAAACTAGGTTGCACCAGCCTTCTTTGTCTGGTGTAATTTCATTCATTTTTTGTCATATGAAGTTAATATAAAAAAAAATCTAGGTGGTCAAGCTAAATGATCATACAAATTTATTTCGATGACAAATGGAAGATACACATATAACACTGTCACATATATTCATTTATGCATATTCGCATCTAAAACTATCACAAAAAATGCTACATCACATACCTCATTGGCCACACCAATATACAAATCTACTGGGAAATTTCTAAACTCTAACCGAACAAACTCAAATTATTTTATCCCCGACCCCATCCTAGGATTCCAACCAAATACCACACATAAACACTTCAAATTTATGGACAAATGTTGGAATATAAGTGAATTGTCTCACCTCTTCCTATCAGCTTAAGCTTTTGGGTTGAATTGATCAGTGCATGCAACTTAATATGGTATCAAAGCTAGAGGTCTCGAGTTCTCGAGTTGAATCCTGGTAATAAAATAATTGTTGCTGCTCATATTCCACGTTTGATGCCTGAGGGAGAGTGTTGGAATATAAGTGAATTGTCCACATCTTCCCATCAACTTAAGCTTTTGGGTTGAATTGGTCGGTGTATGCAACTTAATAACAAAATCAGAAGGGAGAAGGTTACCTTGCGCTAGTAGAACCCCAATTCAAAACGCTTTATTTTCTAGATCCAAGAGTCTGGAGAGATAATGGGTATGTGTTTGTCGAATGGGAGAAAAACAAAAGGGAGGCCACGGCGCAGCCCACAGACCATGGCTGTGTTCGGCTGGTATGAAAATATTATTCATGCTAGCATGAAAAATACTGTTCATGTTGGTATTTTGTGAGAGAAAAACACTACTCCGACTGAAAAAAAAAGCAAGCCAGTCAGCCGAACACAGCCCATAAGTTCTAGACCTTGATACCGCTCTCGTTAGCGCTTAGGTAGGTGGCATGAGCCCTGCCCCTTGGTGTCAAGTTACGGGGGCCAAAGCATATGGCATCCAGACATTTATCGACATCATTTATCTTGGGAGAGGTCCAAATTTGAAAAACAAAAATTATGTTATATTTTGGATCCTATGGTCTAAAAGTTTAGTCATCTAAAATTAAAGGATAAACTTACACGAATTTAATTCACCAGTGAGGTCTAATGAACTAATTATATATTTTTATGAGGTTGACTAAAATTAAAGTTTAGTCATTTATCACTTTAGACTAGAGCTTAAGACATAAGGGCCGTTTGGTTGATGAAATCAGAGAATCAGCTCTGATTCTTTCGTGAATCACTTGGAATAGTGCTAAACGGCTTACAAGTGAAATGTTCCAGCCGAGAAAGTTGAAACGTTTCACTTATTCTGTCTGGGTTTCTGAATCACACCGATTCTCTTCCATTTCTCTTGCCTTCTATGTGTGCTATCAGAATCTAGTCTACCAGCTAAACGGTTTCATAAAAGTAATCTCGTCTCCTGAAACGTTTTTTTTTAGAAGATTTAGATTTGAAACGTTTCTACCGAGAATCTAGAATGCTAGAAAATGCACACTTAAAATGGTATGAAGCCCATTGGATCACACAGGACCTTTTAGAAGTCATCCCGCGGTTGACCCGGCGGCCCGGCAGGTGAGGTGACAGTGTGCCTGCGGCCTCACTGACTGTCCCCGCCCGGCCGCTCGAAAGCGCGGAAACGGTGACCTTGACGTCATCATCGACCGCGTCCGCGCGTCGTGTCGTCGCGGCTGGCTCCGGTCCTTTCCCTACGGCGCCGGGGGTCCCGGAGGACCGACGACCCGAGCGTTCGCTGTGCTGCGATGAGGTCTGTCTGGCACAGCGCCATGAACCGAAGCACCGAACGAACGCAGTGGGGTGGCCTTTCTGCCCGAGATGCCGCGCAAAAGCCCCGGCATTCCGCGGGTGGCCGTGCGCCGTGCGTGCGCCGTGCCCCGCGGCTCGCTCCGCGTCTCCCGCGGCCGGTCCGCCCCTCCCGCGCACAGCGCACTCCCACGACGCCTCCTCGGTGCCTTTCCCTGCGCTTTTGCGTCCCGTCTGCCCGTCACTCGCCCGACAAATCCCGATCCCGAGAACTTGTCCGCATCCGCTGCTTTACCGCGGTCACCGGTCTGTGCGTCAGTGAAGTGAGCTCACCCAGTCTCCCCTGTCTGCGCACGTCGGGTACTGCCAGCAGACCGGGGCGTTTGGAGGATGGCGTCAGCAGCCATGGCGCCATGCCGCCATCCACCTACCAGGCCTTGGCAAGAGGTAGGACCTCGCCGCGCGAGGCGCGACGATAGCCTCCAGCTCCAGTAGTAGATTTGTGACTGTAAATAGTGTGGAGTATGGGACGGTGTAGCGCTAGCAGTAGCTCCCGGCCTCCCTCTCCGACTTCTAGGCATGTTTGACACTTGCGACTCTGTCCCAGCTTCAGTGCGCGCGGCTTCCCGTGAACTTCGTGTCACTTGCACACTGTGTGCGTTCGCGCTACAGTGCGGGCCGGTGGCGCGGAAATTTGCCACTGTCATGAACCTACGTGCCAGGTTCTGACTCCCACACGCCCACACGCAGCACGCGTCATCTCTCTGTTTCGACGGGCGACGAGTTAACACAAGCGAGGTACTCAGCCACACGGGTCAAAAAATCCCAGGTTTTAGTGCTCATGACAGGTGAGAGGTGAGGTGACCTGGAGGTGCACTAACTTTTCAGCATGTGATCATTCACCGTGCCGTGCGACGACACCCGTACTACGCTCCCTGGACGAAGAAAGTGGCTGTAGCTAATCCAC